GCTTAGGACTGAAACGCCACATGAGTCACTGAAAGCATGCAAACAAGTGCTCAAGTTCAGCGCAACGACAGGATGAAACCCCTTTCTCGAATTATTGGGAAAAGCAACATAACAGGTGGAAAGCTGGCGCCACAGAAGAGATCCACTTCAGTTGCCAATTAACAGCGGTCTTGTCGCAATTGGGCACCCTTACGAAGCCTGCTGCCAGCAACTAGAAGGTTAATTAGAAGGTTACCCATACGGACACTGGTTTAATAGATTTGGGTAATAGATCGTTGACTACGGTGATCACGATTTCCCAGTTTTCGAGCTGGAGTGCTACATTTTTCGTTTCCGCCATTTGTTCGTTTTTTGAAAATATCGTAGAACATTTGTTAGTGTTAATTGGACGAGAAGCCGCTGTGAACAAGGTGAACCACGGAATGACTTCTGCCTAATCCTAGAGCAAGGGGTACCCGATGTGTGTGACTACTCCCTGGGCAGAGAATGCGAAGTCGGTGTCATACCAAGGAATTTGCGAACACTTTTGTTAGCATTACCCCTGTCCGTGAAGCGCCCCACACTCTCACTCGAACAAAACATACATGAGAGTATTCAGGAAGAGAGTTTCACGTTGAGAGTCTAATGGTAGGCTAATGGTAAAGGCGCAGGTTCCTTGGTATCGGTGTTGGGAACAGAAGTATACTCTCACGTGTGATTTGCTCAAAAAAAATAGAGGAAACAGTCAAAACGCTCGGAATGGCTTTCTCTTTGCTAAACGAGAAACAAATCGATGTGGTTCTAGGCCCAGATGCCTGGACAAAAGCGGCGAGAGAGCACGCGAACGAATAAGTCAACTGATAAGACATCTATCAAAATGGGCGGAGTCACTTGTACAAAATTGTGCCTTACCGCAGCTATTTTACAACTTCCTGACGCGAAACTTGTACATGGCTGTTCCTTTGCGGTTTTCACTATGTTTCCTTCGAAGGGCTCAGATACTTACAGGCACCATCTTCCCTCCAAAGAGCTTACCAAGGAAGTCCGCCAACTTACCATGGAACTTTGAATGGAGACCTGGGTAGATCGATAGAGTCTATAAGGTTATTTACAAATAGATAGCAAAACTGCAACCTGCATTTCACAAGCAACTTATGAGCAGGTAAAGTTTGTAATGGTATTTCAGCACTTGATGACCTTGCCATCTGGCACTAGTACCAAACAGCAACTGTCAACAGTGAACGTCGAACCTTACCACTGAACCACCACGACTCGATTCGACGTATGCGATTCCTCGCTTATGCTTCACAGCTCACCACCAAGCCTCCACCCTACTGCACCATTACAAACTTTACCTGCTCATAAGTTGCTTGTGAAATGCAGGTTGCAGTTTTGCTATCTATATTTGTAAATAACCTTATAGACTCTATCGATCTACCCAGGTCTCCATTCAAAGTTCCATGGTAAGTTGGCGGACTTCCCTGGTTAGATACTTACAGGTAATCGTGAGACGTGCAAGTTCACGATTGTGTTAAGAGTGTTAAGTTCCATACTGTTGACAGTTGCTGTCTGGTACTAGTGCCAGATGGCAAGGTCATCAAGTGCTGAAATACCATTACCCTTCCCACGGTTGATAAAAACACGCTTGCACACCTTTTAACCAACTATCTATCGCTTGTTAAAGGTAAATGGTTAGATACCTGATCAAAAAGGTTTGTAGCCTATGTGGACCATTTCATCAAAGTGAGTTTCTTAGTCACTTTTAGCCGTAAAGTATCCACCCCATAATGATAGTATAGGAAATTTCTATAGCTGTCGCTATCCATGACTACTTTTAAGCTCCCACTTCCAGGAAATCTTAGTACCTTGTAGTGGGGAGAAAGCCACTGAACTGAGCACATGACACTAGGCGTAGTTAGTTCATCAAAAGACGTCAATATACCTTGTGCGCCTGATCTGTTCCATTCGAAAGGATGCTCGTGAAATGAGGACACTGTTATTGCAGCAGAAGTTTTGCTCTAAAGTAGAGACGCTGTTACACCTCAAATTGTCAGAATTTTATAAAAAGTAGACCCAATGTTGATTTACCACACCTTTCCAGATGAATTTCGAGATGATGAGCTTCGATTGCCGTCGCGTAGCAATTTCACATTTTTCAGTGCTTAATTCTAATTCGTTTTTCGCTATCATTTTGCAAACCTACTGAACCTCAATGTGGGAGCTGGATGCGCTCGTACGTTGTGTCAACGTTTTGAGCGACTACGATCGATTCAGGGTTCTGAGCGTACGCCAGCATTTTCAGCGATTGTTGCGATAAGCTTGAAACTCCACGAAAACGCTCGCAAGTCTGCGTACGCTCAAAAAGCTAGATCGATACGTATACCTTCCTAGTCGCATGAAGCGCTCGAAACGTGACGCACAGTATAAACGCGGCTTTACACTAAAATTTAGTCTAACGAACCGTGTGCACCAGAAATGTTCCATTCAAAAGGGGTTCCATGAAACGAAGAAACAGACACTGGATCGGATATGCTGCCCTGAAACAAAAGTGGACTATTATGAAACTCGAAACTTCTGAAAAGGCGTTAGACAGAAACAGTAGTTAAGTTCGTACCTCATCGGAGAGGATTTCATTTGAACGACTTGCAGCAGTTTGAAGTAAGGAGCACCCGTCTGTCGCTGCTAAATGCGATTTCATTCATTTCATTGTAGCGCATCTATAACCCGCGATTTGGTCGCTGTGATTACGAGTACGATTTGGTCGTACGATGAGAGCGACCAAATCGCAAAGTATGAATGCATTCTCAAACTCATTTATGAAGAAAACACTGTAAATAAGCAATCCACGGATGTTTCTCAAAGTTGCATAAATGAGCAAAGTTTCCGCAATCGTACGGAATCGACGAAGAAAAGAGGGCAGTTCCCAGTGTTCTAAAACTTTGGAAAGGTGACAGCTGAAGTGAGTGTGATCAATGGCGGCCGTCTCTCTTCCATAGAATGCCCTCTGTGCAGTAAAATATTCTATATTCTAGCGTAGCTGCTTTCTCTGAATCTACACTGGCTCCAAATGAGTCAATCTGAGTAGTTTCTTAGATATAATATTCCATGAGCCAATTATTTCTGCTACAAAAAGAGAACGCGGGGCTTCCTTAACGTGCAACTCTGTTCGACCCAGAGAATTCGTCAGATTTAGTCACATAAGAATTCACAGTGGAACAACAAGGAGGAATTCCCCCGAATCACTTCTTTTGTGCGGATTAAATGGCGATTTTGCGCCGTTAAATGTGAACCTTGTCCATAGTTTGTTTCCACATCCACATATCACGACGAAAAATCAACTACGAAACAAGTGAAACTAAGCAAAACAGAAATAAACAAAGCAGGAACTCACTTTTGCAGTTGTCACCGCTGCCGTCAAAGAAAACTTCGAATTCTTCTTCGTCTTCAGAGCTTTGTTGAATATCCATTCGTTTGCGAAACTTCTTCAGCCCTGCACAAATCCAACTGCTCTGAGACAGGAGGATGGGAGACTTTGGCTTTGTTGACTGAAAGCACGCCAGAAGGGAGGATGAAT